TTACGGGTAGGATGGCAAAAATACCCGCATTAAAAATACCCGCATTTGTAAGTATTTGTGGATAAAATCTGTTACGGATAATAAATGAATAGATTAATTAGGTACCCGCGAATAATAGACACGGATAATTTTTACCCGTTTATAAACGGGGTGGGGGCATGTATGATGATATCCATGCCCGTAGAACCCGTTTAATAATATTTCTTAAATATCCTAATTATCCTTGTACCACATAATCCTAAAACTACACTCTCTCATCTTATTTTCTTTCCATAGCCGCACAGTCCACACATTTAGGGATGAAAAAAATATCCACACCTGTGGGTATCTGCGGGTAAAATTCGCTACGAATAATAAATGGATAGGCTAATTAGGTACCCGTAGATAATGGGAACGGATAATTTTTTACCGTTTATAAACGGGGCGGGGCGGGGCGGGCGTTTAATAATATTTCTTAAATATCCTAATTATCCTTGTACCATATAACCCTAAAACTACACTCTTTCATCTTATTTTCTTACAAAAGTGAAGTTGATGAAGTTACCAACATGTGTTAAACATGTTATAGAATTATGTTGGATGTAATTTGATTAATTTTCTAGCCTTAATTGGACTAATAAAATTTATGTATTTTAAGTTGTTTACTTTCCGTTTGAAATTATGATATTGAAGTATTGTAGCTTTGTGATGAGACTTTAACTTACTTGTGAGATTGGTGTATTTTAAGTTATTGATTATAGTGCATTTTTAATATTATTTAAACAAAATTAATGTTAAACATAAGTTAAAAATTAACATTAAATTTTTATTTTTAATATTTCAATGACATTAAATATAAACATAAAATTATTTGTAATATATTATTTTTTTATTTCATAAAGAATTTATAAATATCCATGGATATCTGTGGGTATTCAATAAATTCATGGATACCCGCGCGGATATGAGGTGGGTATAGGGCCAATTTCATCCAGCGAGGCGGGGGCGGGTTTACTATTACCCACCCTCATGGGGCCCCATTGCCATCCCTACACACATTAGTCATCACAATAAGATTTATGTATTTTAAATTGTTTACTTTCGTTTGAAATTATGAGATTGAATTATTGTAGATTTCTTATATGAGACTTTCACTTGTGAGATTGATGTATTTTAAGTTATTGATTATCTTGTATTTTTATTATTATTTCAACAAAATTAACGTTAAATACAAGTTTAAAATTAATATTGAATTTTTATTTTTAATATTTCAATGATATTAAATATAAACCTAAAATTATTTTTAATATAATTATTTAATTTCTTAAAAACTTTATAAATATCCATGGATATCCGTGGGTATTCAATAAATTTATGAATACCCGCATAGATATAAGATGAGTATAGAGTCAATTTTTATCCCGCGAGACGAAGACGGGGACGGGTTTATTATTACCCATCCCCATGAGACCCCATTGCCATCACTACTTACGGGTGTTTTCATTATAACTCAACGATTTTCGGCTGGCCAATTTTACATCCTCCAAGCATATTATGTTTGGAAAAGATATTCAATATTTATTTTTTAATAATTAATAATAATGTATCTAATACTTTATCGCCATTATCAATGGTAGGCTGAATTAAGTTTACATGTATAATTTTCTTTAAATATAATTTGAGGTTTGAGTATTGCATATTAATGTATATGAAGAAACTTATTATAATTGACCTAATAGTTGATGGCTAGGGTTATATATAAAAGATTTTAGATTTATACTTTTATTATTGTTGTTATAATAATTTTTTTATTTATTAATAAAAAAATGCATATGAAAAACTTTATAAATAAAATAAAATAAAACTAGGTTCGTCCATTACAATAAAATGTGTTTTTAGCAACATTTAAAAAATGCTATTAAATGATAAGTAAATGTTAATAATATATTTATCAAATGTAAGATAAAATCAATATTATTAAAAAAAATTAATAATATTTTATATATTAATGACAACATTTTTAAAAATGTTATCAAAGTGGTATTTTGTAACATTTTAATAATGTTGTTAAATTTTTGTAATTTTTAAAAAATGATAATTAGATGATATCATCAGTTATACTTTATGACTTTTGTCCACAAATCTTTTAAAATTTAAGATATATTAAGTTTTTTTGACAAAAAAAGATATCATAAGTTAGTCACCATCAAATATAGATCATATATTGAAATTATTTATCTTAAGTTTTACTCTATCATTATATATATTCTTTATATGTTATTCTTTTATTTAATGTGGGACTTTAATTTTAGAAAATAATTAGAAGTGAGAGAAATATACTTTTTATATATTATTTTTTTACTCTATATAAGACTTAATTTTGAAAGATAATTATAAAAATAATATTAAAATAAAAAGAATGTTACTTTATGCATAATATCATTTTCTATAAAAAAAATATTGTAATAATCTATTAACTTAATCTTTAATAAATTTTAATAAAAATATTGTTAAAGAGGTTAAATATAGTAGTCACCATACCATAGAAAAAAGTGTAAGATTAATATATTAAAGAAAAAAAATACTATTTAACTACTAGCCTTACAGAATTATTAGTGTAATATCTCTTGTTGTTAATTTAATCATTTAAAAATCTAAAATGTTATTGTCAGAGAAAATAGTGCTTGCATCTACGGTGTAAAGTGTTTTAACATTGTCATAATCATTTAAAACATTATAATCTCTAACATTGATTCAGTCGTATTCATTTGTTCCGGTATAATTTGATGCTATTTTGCATAACTTATAGCCTAAATTGAGAATGACATGTATTGCATTTTAAGATATAATATGAAAATAAATTTTATAAGATTTTTTTTAATATTTTACTTGTTTTTTTTTTATATGATTCTTTTCTTGTATTAATTAATAGTTCTTTAAGAAAAAATAATAAAATTTGAAAATTAAGGAGATAAACTTTTTTTTTATTACTAGGATTAAAGTAGATGAGTAAACACAATTTTCAAATGTCACGCTCATCTACTTTGGCTTTAAATATACAAATTAATGAGATAAGTTTTTTCCCCTATTAAAAAGTATTAAGGATAATTTTGATAATAAATATTACCAAATTTTATGTTATTAAATAAATTAATCAACTATCTTATAGAATGTAAATTAGTTGAAAGAGTCTTATATATAAGAAAAAAATGTAATAATTTACAATTTTATTTAAACATAAAAGAGAATAATGTCTCTTTTTATTAATTGAATTGATTGTAAAGTCTTAAAAAAACTCTTTTAACACATTACTCTAATTTGTTATAATTTATTAAAAAAATATAAAATCATGTGAGAGATTCATTAAATAAGGTATGAGATTTGCAAAATTTTGTAATTTTTAATAAGTATATATAACCTTTAACATCCAACTAGAATGAAAAATATCAATGTTCATATATAGTTAACAAGAAGTATATAAAAATTTAATTGATTAACTAGATTTAATTTAGTTGTTGCATGTGGTTAAGTGGTAAAGAGTAGGATCCCGTGGATTTCGAAAATTTTTTTTGTTATCGTTAAACACCTGTCCCTTAATTAAGCAACCATGTTTACATGGACTTTCAATTTGCTCTTACGGTAGAAATAGAAAGAAGTTATTAATTATAAGAACCAATGAAGCAATGTGCGTAGGAGATACTCTAATGTTCCTAGTTAAAAATGTAGATTGAATTTCAATTTAATTTATTTAGATTTAATTTAGTTGTTTCATGGGGTTTTAAGTAGTAAAAAGTAGTTACTTATTAAAATAGAATAAGCATACTAGTTGATTTTTCAGAAATTTGGATAAAAAAATATGTGAGCATCTAATGTAATATATTCCATAGTATGAACTATGGCGGCTTAATTCCGCAATTGTCAATGGCTTTAATAAAATAAATAAATCGAAGATGGGAATATGAATTGCAATAGACGAAATTCAGAAATGCCACGTGGAGACAGGCTGGCATGAGTAGGATTACATGGCAGGATGTGGGGGACTAAGATGGGAATAGACGAGATTGTAGGCAGTGCACCCATATAGAGGATTTATAATGGGATTGTGGGGGCAATGGAAAGGGAAGTTAGAGAGCCTTTAAGACAAACCCATCTGGCTATCTAATCCCAATTCATGTGCATTCATTAATCAATGTGGGTGAGGTGAAATCAAAAGCAAAGCAAACCCTTCCAAAAGAAAAAGCATGATTCCTGTGCCTTACGAGACAAGGGTCGCTTTCTCACTCCCCATTCATTTTTATGCTCCTCCTTTTTTTTACTAATTCTTCCTCCCACTCACCAATTTGCCCTCACTTACAACTCCCTATCACCACCTATCTGCAATGTGTGCCTCTCCAAACAACCCACAAACAACAACGTTAACGTTAACCACAACAAATGCATTTTGTTAAACAAGAAACATATATAATATGAGTTGGAAAATAATTAATAACTAAAAATTGGTACCATGATATTGGTTCAAAACCTCATGATGATATCCTATCCTCTTGTGCTTGTCAAATTATGGATGGCCTGTCTCGTTCGTTCACTGTGATTATTGCAACTTGAAGAAGAAAAAAAAAAGGTGTGTTTAATGTCAAAGTGAATCCTTGATTGGTCATTATTTATCCTTGGAGTGGCTTTTGTGACACAGATTGTCTAAAGGCTAAATTATCTGTTTCATCGATTACCCTCTAAGCTAAGCTCACATGTGGAGTTACTATTTCTTTGCCTCTCTATTCACAATTCTCATTGAGTCAATCATGGTATTAGGTGCGTTACTGAAAAGAGACAGAAAAGAAGGGCGTTTGTATGTATAGAAAAATTATTAAATAATAATAATTAAAAAAAGAGAGAAAAATATGATCTGTGGAAGGAGGAATGGAGGATGATAGAGATATAGGGTCAACGTATAGAAGGGTAAATCCGGAATTGAATTAATTGGGTGAGAAATAAATAAGACGCGGATCTAGTTACAAGCTTTGCTTACTTTTGAGGCATTTGGCTGGGGTTACCTTTTCCCCAGTGGTTGAAAAGAGAGAGAGAGAATCTGGGGCGTTGGCATGCCATTGCCAGCTATGAAAGGTTTCCGTGAGGGTCAATGCGTTTTTCCCTCTTCTGGCCTTGTAACTTGTTTCACTAGCGTTATAAGTTATAACCACATTAACACGAAATCCATCCCTCATATATAAACTAATAAAACCCCTCCCTACTCTCCACTCCCTACTCTTTTTCCTTCTCAGTTCTCAGTTCTCACTCTCTCCACCTCCTTCCCCTATACAGGGAGGGAACCAGACAAAGGCTTTCAGTATCAGAATTTCATGCTCCAAAAATGGCTGTCACTACTCACTCTCTATCTGCCACAGAAAGGAAGTACTGGTGGCTCACCAACAGAAAGGTAAGTTAAAGTATCACTCTTTAATTAGGTTAGGTTTTATGGTTTCCAAATGTTTGGAGTCTCACGCTTGTGTGCTTTCAAGATTGTTGAGAAATACATGAAAGACGCGCGGACTCTCATAGCCACGCAAGACCAGACCGAGATCGCTTCGGCGCTCAACCTTGTGGACGCGGCTCTGGCGATTTCGCCGCGGCTGGACCAGGCGCTGGAGCTGAGAGCGAGGGCGCTGCTCTATCTGCGGCGCTACAAGGACGTCGCCGATATGCTTCAGGACTACATTCCGAGCTTCAGAATGGGCAACGATGACTCCTCCGACGCCTCCTCGCAGCAGCTCTCCAGGGAGGGAGTCAAGCTTCTCTCCTCCGACGCGCCTCAGACCTTCAAGTGCTTCTCCGTCTCCGACCTCAAGAAGAAGGTCATGGCAGGGCTGAGTAAAACTTGCGACAAGGAAGGCCAATGGAGGTAATTTACTTAATATTATTCTGTTTCATTGCTCTTGCTTCTCACGTTTTTTTTTTTTTATTTTTATTTACTTAAGTTTGCCATGAGATCCAAGTAATTAAGTAAATGCTCCTTCTCCTGCTCCTGCCACTGCCAGCCACCACAGACACACGCAAGGCAAATGCTTTCTAGCTCTTTTTATTCCAAAAACGAACCCACTCTAATTCAATGCACCATCAAAGTACTACTCCATTATTTACTGTCACGCCTCTTTTTACCCTACTACATTACTCTATTTACCATATACATATTTCAAAGACATTAAAAAAAAAAAAGCTAATAAAATGCCATCTGAGTTGAACTATACCATGTGGCTTACATTGCTAATGCTCTCCCATCCGTTGATACGCT